GGCTGTGGCGAACTCGGGAGCGAGCAACACTGCCCCCCTCTCTTTGCGAGCAGGTGGGGCGGATTGGTTCGCGCGTGGCGAGTGGATTGGGTGGGTGGGTGGCGAGAGTGGACTCGGTTGGTTCGGTTGAGCCGGAGGCGAGTGGATTAGGTGAGCGACGTGTCGGAGGCGTGGCAGGCGGACACCGACGGCTGGCGCGCGGAGCGGGAGGAGGCGGCGGCGAAGGCGGCGGAGGCGGCGGAGGTGGCGGCGGCGGCGAGGGCGGCGGCGGTGGCAGAGGGAAGGGAGGGTGCCGAAGGGGGCGACGGTGGCGGCGGGGGTGGAGAGGTAGGGGGTGGCGACGCCGCGGCGGCGCTGGCGGAGCGCGAGGCGCTCATCGACGAGCTGCGCGGGCGGGAGGAGGAGGCGAGGCGCAGGGAGTCGGAGGCGAAGCGGCGTGCCCTCGACAAGATTGGGGTGAGTTCGGCCCGGCTGAGTAGGAGAGGCCGCGAGGAGGAGAGGCCGCGAGGAGGAGGAGAGGCACTAGCGCACGCTTGGACGGTACACATTTCCTCAACCTGTCCTGGAAATGTCCTGGAAATGTCCAGGTTGGAGGTGCACCCCGCTCTTGCGCTGACATGCCGGCTCCTGGTTCTCAGGCGCTCGGCGAGGAGTCGGCTGTGCTGCGCGAGGAAGTGGCTCGCGTAGATGCGAGATAGAGACCCGCGTCTCCCGGCGGGCACTCGAGAGGACGCGTGTCTTCGGCTGTGCTCCGCCGTGTGTAGCGGAGCTCGTGGTACTCGTGGCCCCTTGGAATGAGCTTCTGGTCGGAGTGCGCTGCTCGGTGCCATCCTCCCGCCCGGACTCTCTGGTGCGCTTGGGTGTACTCGCAGGCGGCTGAGTTGCGAAGGCGCCTGCAGGAGGCGGAGGCGGTCGCCGCGGAGCGAGGCGAGGTGGTCGCAGCGCTCGAGGGGCGTCTGGAGGCGCCCGCCGGCAGAGGGGCCATGAGCCGCGCCCTCATCACAGCGCTCCCGTCACTTCGCCGTCTTGTGGGTCGCTGAGTAGGCGTCCGATGCGGCGTCCTCTCCGGAGGTGGCGGCGCTGGAGGCGGAGCGGGCAGCGGCGGCGGAGGCGGCGAGGCAGGCGGAGGAGGCGGCGAGGCAGGCGGAGAAGGCGCTGGCGGCGGAGCGGGCGGAGGCGAAGGCGCGAAATTCTGCCCTCGACGCGCAGCTGGCGGCAGCAGCAGCGCACGCGGCGGCGGCCGAGGCGGCGGCGGCCGCGAGGTCTGAGCGGCAGGACGAGGCTGCGGCGGTGGCGGAGGAGGCGCGGGTGGCCCTCGAGGAGAGGGTGGCGGCGTTGCAGGAGGCGCTGGCGGCCGAGAAGGGGCGGGCAGAGGAGGCGGCGAGCAGGGCAGTTTCCGAGGCGACCCGTTCCGCCGAGGCGTCCGAGGCGAGATGCGCCGAGATCAGCCCGGAGTAGCCGAGATGCGCGGAGGGTAGCGAGACTAGCCGAGATGCGCCGAGAGTAGCGAGACTAGTCCGCCGCCCGCTTCGCTTGCCGCAGGCGGTCGACGCGTTTGCCGCGGAGCTCGACTCGGCGGTGGCGAGGGCGGAGGCGGCCGAGGCGAAGGCGGACGAGGCGGAGGCGGCGGCGCTGGCGGCGAAGGAGGAGGCGGCGGCGGCGGCGGCGGCGCGGCAGGCTGAGGCGGATCGGGCGGCGGAGGCGGAGGCGCGGGCGGCGGCGGCGGCGACGGCCGGGACGGAGGCGGAGGCGGGACGTGCCAGGGCGGCGCAGCTGGAGGCGGAGGGCGAGGGAGTGCGCGCCGAGCTAGCCGCGGCGCGGGTGGAGCTCGAGGCGGCGGCGGCGGGGCGGGCGAGAGCGGAGGAGGAGAGGGAGGCTAGATGCGGATGTCTGCTCCCCTCCCTCTTGCCACCACCCCCTTTGGCCACCGCCCGAGAAGCTCTTGTTCCGCAGCTCTTGTTCCGCACGCGACCGGACCCCATCGCACTCGCGTTGCGACCATCGCTGTCATGGCCCCTCGGTGGTTGTCCCGTGCACGCGCCGCCCATCTCACGCCGCCCACCCACAGGAGCCCGCCTCACGCCCCGCCTTACGCCGTGCGTACACACCGCAGGAGCGTGAGGCGTTGCGCGCTCAGCTGTCCGCGGGGGTGAGCGCGGCGACCGACCAGCTGCAGGCACACCTCTCCTCGCACTCGCGCGCCGATCCTTGCACTCGAAATGCCGTGGGGCTCCTGTCCTTGGGCGTGGAGATGCGAGGGCTGCCTGGCGCTTGCCCCGCCACCTCGTGATGCGTCCACCCGCCCTTCCGTTGCCGTGCTTTCCGCTCACTGTCTGCAGTGACCTTCTGCAGGCGGCGACACGCGACGCGGCCGCGCGGCTACTCGCGACAGAGGAACGAGAGCGGCGCCTCAAGGCGGAGCTGGAGGCGCGGGAGGCGGAGGCGGCGGAGCAGGCAGAGGCGGCGGGTGCGCGGGAGGAGCGACTCGCCGCCACGAGCGCGGGGCGCGACGCGGCGGAGGCACACGCACACACGCACACTCGCCGCCTTCTCGCCACCACCCACCTTCGCGCATCGGGACAGCCACTCTCAATGCCGTGCGACCTTCCCTCCCCCCGTTAGGCGGCACTAGCCAAGCTCAAGGGGGAGCATGGCGGGCTGCGGCGGCTGCTCCTCGAGGCCGAGGACGGCGCGAGCCGGCGGGAGCAGGCCCGGAAGAGGGCTGCCGACGACCGACCTGGGAGGTCGAGCTCAGACGTGAGTCCCCGAGATTGTCCGAGACTAGGTCCTGAAGAAGGAGGCCGACGAGCTGCGAGGTCGAGCTGCGGCTTGCGAGGTCGGCCGTTCCGAGCCTTCGTCTTCTGCAATCGCAGTTTTGTTCTTGTAGGCGAGCTGCGCGCTGCGAGGGATGCGACGAGCGCGCAGGTCGGAGCCGCGAGACACATTTCGGCCGCACCTCGGCCGCACCTCGGCCACATCTCGGCCACATCACGGCTACATCTCTCTCGGCCACATCTCGGCCACATCTCGGCCGCACCTCGGCCGCACCTCGGCCGCACCTCGGCCACATCTCGGCCGCATCTCGGCCGCACCTCGGCCGCACTTCGGCCGCACCTCGGCCGCACCTCGGCCGCACTTCGGCCGCACCTCGGCCGCACCTCGGCCGCACCTCGGCCGCACTACGCAAGGTGGGGAGTGCGAGCGAGGCTGCGGCCCGAGCAGCGGACGCTGAGGCGACGCTCGCCGCGGGCAGTGGCGCAGCTGTGGGCGGCGTGTCTTCACGTCCGCCTGTGAACAGGCTGCGCTCTCCGCCGCAGAGGCGCAGCTGGCCGAGCAGCGCGCGGCACTCGCCAACCTCAACGCGCTGCTCGAGGGAGAGATGATGGCGCCCGACGGCGGCGGCGAGCGGGGGGGCGAGGCGGAGGAGCTGAGGGTTGGTGGGCGGCTCCTCTCACAGGCCCGAGATTGCCCGAGATTGCCCTTGCCCGAGATGAAGGGTTGGCGGGCGGCTCACCTCACTACTGCGAGAGCTCTCGAGGGGAGAGGGGAGAGGGGAGAGGGGAGTGGGGAGGGAGGAGGAAGGGGGGGGGGGGGGGGGTCCGCGGAGGACGCCATGCTACGCCGCGTAGGAGCTCGCTGCTCTCGAAGAGAGCGCGGGCGCCGCCGCCGTCGAGCTGGCCACGGCGCGCGAGGCGCTGGGGGAGGTGCCTCTGCTGCGCGCTGCGCTCGCGAGTGCAGTGCTTGAGCGCGATGTGCTGCAGCAGCGGTCGGCAGCGGCGTCGGCGACGCGCCAGAGCGACGGCGCGGCGGCCGGCGAGGCGGGCGAGGCCGGCGAGCGCGAGGCGCGTGTCCGGCGGTAACTCTCGGCGACTCTCGGCGACTCTCGGCGGGTGAGTGGGTAGGCGAGGCGGAGCGCGTGCTGATGGCGCAGCTGCTCGTGCGGATGGTGTCGCAGGGCGGCTCTGGCGGCGAGCTGGGCGTGCTCGCCTCAATGCTGGGCTGCTCGCCAGAGCAGCGCGAGGAGCTCGGCCTCGTGCGCGGCGCGGCGCCGCGCGCGTCGGAGGTGGGCGACGCGTGGGTCCGTTTCCTCGAGATTGAGAGCTCGCGGTGAGCTGAGGGGGCGGCGAACCCCTGGGGCGCTACACTAAAAGCACGCGCAGTGGCCAGTGCATGGAGCAGGGCTCAACAGACAACACCTCAAAGAATGCGTCGCGGTGACCGGTGTGGCGAGAGCGTCTCTCTGTAGTAATTGCCGTTATTTCCCCGCACGCGCCACGGCGCACGGGCGCACTCCGCACACGGGGACAAACAAAATCACACACTTCAGTGGCACACTTGTCACTTCACTGACCCGCCCCCCCCTCCCCCCCCGCAAGCCCACTTCCGCCCGCCGCGGCCAGCAACTTCTGGTATTGCTAAAAATCTCTCTCTCTCAACGACGCCGGAGACGTGGGGCAAGAGCCCCGGGCGATGCGAGAGGTCGAGCGATTGCGGGCTCGCTCGGTGCAGCATGCGTGCTAGTCGATTTTTTTCCTTTCGATCGCCAACTTGTTCGCCAAGTATCCACCCAGGACTGGCACGTTCGTACTACTTTTAGCTTACTGGGAGAAAAGAGAGAGGGGGGTTGTGTTCTCTAGGCCCCTAAGGGCCCTACGCGCGGCGTGAGATCTCTCTCTTTCGTATGCTTGCCATCAGTGACACACTCACACACACACAACCAGCTGCACCTCGTTCGCCTCTGCGCCTGCTCGATCCCGAACCACTGGATGCGCACGATGCCCCCAACCCAGACCGAGGGCGCCGCTGCCTTCGCCGACGAGGCAACCGGCAACGCCGCCGCCCTCATCCTTGACTTCGGCCGCAGCCCTGACGACAGAGCGGCCCTCGCGCGCACCCGCGCGAAGCAGACGGGCAAGAATGGCGGCATCGGCATGTCCGACTACGCTCGCCGCCGATTCCCCAGCTTCCTCGCCTCCGCCATCACCTCCCAGAGAGCGCGTGCGCCAGGGTCTACCCCGCGCTCGGGGAGATGTCCCTCACGTACGGAATACATGCGGCGCGGAGCGCCGCTAACTAGTTATGCAGTGCAAATGCAGGCGCGGAAGCGCGCGGCGCGCGCGGCGCGCGCTCGGAGCGCGCCAGCGCGCGCGGAGCGCGGGCAGACCATCAGGTCCTCCTCGTTGTCCGAGTTGTTCTCGTCCGAGTCCGAGTCGCTCTCCCACTTGACCGCCCCGGCTCCTTTAGCCCGCCACCAGCCCGCCACCCGCCTTGGTGCGCTTGATGCGGAGCTGGAGCGCCTCGTGGCAATACACGAGGCGGTCGGAGACGGCGTGGCGCATGCGCGAGCGCAGGCAGCGCCTTTGCTTTGTCGCAACCTTGCGGACGCCGCCATTGCCTCCGACGCGGGCTGGCCCGGCCTGCTGCAGTCCAAGCTGCTGCTGCGGCGGCGGCTGGGCCGCAGGGGCGCCCTCTGGGATGGTCGTGGTCAGCATTGATGGAAGGTTGGAAGCATGGAAGCCGGTGCTTCCTCCTTCTCCCCCTGCCTCGGCCCCCCTTGCGGCCACCTGATCTTGAGCGCGAAAATTCTTTTTTCTTGAATACAAGGGCAAGGGCCTCAAGGGGGCGTATTCATGAATTCAAGATTTCTGGCCTTGAATACGTATAATACTGAATTTTTCTTCGCTCCGCGAGGTATTCAACACCTAGGGTTTGGAGGGATCGGAAGCAGGGAGATTTTTAAAGACCAACAACGAACAAGCAGGGAGCCGGCGTGATAGGAAGTGCGCCAGGCCGCACAAGATTTCTTCTTCTCGCGGATTTAAGAATTCTTCTCGCTGATTTTCCATAATCATTTAGACCGAGGTCAGACCGATGGCATAGCATCCGCTCGCTGGTAGCGTGCTTTTACCTCACACCCACGGTCTCACAGTGTGCCCCGGCAGTCGCCGAGCAGTGTCGCTCACACAAGCCGCAGCACTCAACTGACTGAGGGCCAGTGAGGGCGAGCCCATCGCTGTCACAGCTGTGCGGCTGCCACTGGTGTGAACGGTGACTCGAAGATGTACCGCTCTCCTCGTCTGCCGCACATCACGCGCGCGCAGGGCATCGACGAGTGGAAGACCCCCTCCCCGTTCCGCAAGATCGAGCGCAAGGGCGAGTCCAACCTGGTCGACCGCTCCAATACCACCAAGAACCTCACCCCGTTCGACCCCAACGGGTTCGCGGCTCTGCTCGGAACGGACGCCGACAAGGAAGACCTCGCTGGCGTCGGCTCCGGCGACGCGTCTGTCGGCGACGCCCCGCCGTCGTCGTCGACGCCTTCGGCGCGTACTGCCTTGCCCGTGCAGCGCGCTCTGCTCGTGACTGACCCTCGTCCGCACTGTTCACAGGGCGCCGTGCAGGAGACGGAGCCGACCTCGACGCGCTCCGGCTTCCGCTTCGGCAAGTTCTGCTCGACAAAGCTGCTGTGCGTCTTCTTCTCCGTGGTGATCGGTCTGGGCTGTTCGGCCGTTGCTCTGTCTTCCTATGGCTCTGCCGGCGTCTCAGAGCTCCTCGACGCGGTGTCCGTGCCCGACGCGGTCGCGATCCCGGTGAGCAATAGAACTGGAGCGCAACATGGCTCCCAGCACGCCCTGACTCTCCGTCGCGCGTGCGCTCGTGTATCGCGCAGGTTCTCGACCTCTCCAACACCACGCCAAAGAACGAGTTCAGCCCCTTTGCCGACGGCTATATGAGGCCTGAGGTGCCGGTGCCAAAGGTGGATGTGTGTGGAAGTTTCCCCTGTCGCACTTTGGACACGGCCGCAGATGTCTTTGCATGTGCTCGTCGAATAGCTGCTGCAGTCAACGGGAACGCGAGAACTGTTGGCTTCCCAGACATCTTCATCGGTGGAGGAATGAAGTCAGGCACGACCTCTCGCTTCGAATGGCTGCAAGCGCACCCTGAAGTCGCAAAACAAGAAACAAAGGAGACCCACTTCTTCACAACCAACCGCACAGCTCGCGAGGCGGTGGACTTCCTCACCAGACAACTTAGCTGGCAACACCTTTGCAAATCGCGCTTCAAGCTGGCGTCTTTAGAAGCAACCGCGGGTGGCGCAGATTTCCCGTTGCAGTATCGCGCCGCAAATCCAGCGCTGCGTGCTGTGCTCGTCTTGCGTGAGCCGCTGACTCGGACGATCAGTGAGCTCCAGCACCGTGCCACATCTTACTTTAGGGGAGACCGCCCGGAATGCCTCCGCAGGCTCTTCCTACAACAGTGTCTACATGATCTGAAGACGTTCTCCGGCTTCAAGACGTCTCATTATGGTGCAATCGTTCAACAGTGGCTTCATAGCTTTCCACGAGACCAGCTCATGGTTGCTCGCTTCGAAGACATGGTGGCAAGGCCAGCGACCTTTTACGCCGACATGCTTCGCTTTGCGGGCCTCTCGCCTTTCGACCCAGGTCTTGGCTTCTTTCGGGCAGCTAACAGTGGTAGATCCAGCGAGGAGCGCCCCTACAACATGACTACTGCAGGCTTTAGTAGTCTTGTGAACGACTTTGGGTCAGACATGACATTGCTGAACTCGCTGATGCAAGGCGACTTTGTCGCGCCATGGCGGGCACATCATAGAGCTCAGCTACAGCAGTGTCGCTCCCATGCTGATGAATGTTACATCTTTCTCAGCGGCACGCCTGATTTCAGCGCCAAGCTCACAGTGCGTACACCAAAGGAAGTCACCCAGGTTGGGCTGCAATCGAAGTGCAAAAGCCTCATAAATGCCTTGGAAAAGCAAGGCACTTTCAATACCGTCTACATGAAAGGGCCTGGGTGGCTGTGCGAGGGCGACACGTGTATTGACACTCTCTACTGCTCTTCGAATCGCACAGCCGGAGGTAGATCAAGCCGAAAAAGCCACAAGGCCAGTTCCCGAGTGGTGGTAAAGAGTCTCCAACATGAGCAGGCAAATCGTACCATCGTGCCAAGAGCATGGCCAAGAGTTCAGGCAACACTTTCACATATGAGTACTTGGTATGCCGAGATTGGCCCAAGGTGCACAGACACGACAGTTCGTCCCAATTGGGGTCTCGGTGTGCGCGCTTCCCCGCGCTATTATACAGTTGAGGAATGCGTCTCTGTCCAGCACGAAGTTCTTGGCTGGCCAGATGGGAAGTGCCCATGTGCAGCTGAACTAGCAGCTGAATGCTCAGGTCATCGCTCTAGCTGCCACGACCATTTGTACGTCGAGAATCTGTGGATGCGCCCGAAGAACTCAAGCACTACGTATCTGCAATATTGCCCAAAACGTGTGCTTGAGTTGCAGGATACTATTGATCTTTACTTGTACCTGAACCCAGAGGCAAGGCCCGCTTCTGTGTCTCTGCTACACTTCGACAAGCTGGAGCTGATGAGACGTGCAAGCCGTGAGCTTACAGACATTGACACGCTGTTTTTTGTCAACCACTTTGACCGGAGTCGATCATGCAATGGCACCTGTTGCGGGGCCGCTGAGCGTCGAGTGACAACCATGACCAGGGAACTCGTTGCTCTGCACTCTTGGCGTCCCTACGAGTGCCCAGGACACCCCATGCTGCAATGGCGTTCTACTGGGAACTGTACTTGCAAACACTGGCCCCAAAGGGACTATCCCTGCTAGTGGACTATCCCGACGGTGCGCGGAACGGCTTTGCACCGTCTGCGGCGCTCCCGACTATAGTTGACATAGGCTCACATAGTATTTTCTTAACGTACGCAGGTCGTCGACTTCTCGAAGACAACGCCGGAGATTGAATTCAAACCTACGCTCGAGACAAAGCGCGGGCCGCTGTTTGCTCCTTTCAACCCCGACACACCAACCGGCCCGTCAGAGTTCTCTATCCCAACTGAGGCTGTGTTGTTTGGAGATTATGGCTCGTTCGCGCTTAGAGTGGTCAACGAATCGCAGATCTCGGTCACCCATGACACTGGCCTGCGCATCTATGCCGGTCCGCTCCCACTTAACCAGCAGTCTATTCTCCGTGCGTGGTGAGAAAAAGTGGCTCCGTACCTCGGAAGAGGTCATAGCTCATACGGCTTACGGGGGGTTTTCCCGCACTCCTCAGCGTAGGTACTGACATCCCTGCGCGCGCGGGAGCGCGCGGGCGATTTTTTATGTAATGACGTGACTTTGAACCAAGTGCGCCCGCTACTACCGGGATAGATGTTCCGGGATCCGGCTTCCGCGCGGCCGCCCATCACACGGGCGCGCTGCTCCGCCGCCTGAAAAAGGGCCGTCCCGACGCCC